TATTGCACCAAACCATATTACATTCATTCTCCTCATGGCTTTACATTTCCTGATTGGATTCACAAATTTTGTTAAGACATGACTTTGTTAACCGTGATTTGTTAATCACAATTGATTAGAATCACACATTGCCCTAAGCCACAATTGAGCCATCTGACACCTAATGCTAAAACAAAAGCAAATCACATTGTGACTTAATCACTGACCTGTACTATAATGTAGGAAACTCAATAATTTTATATATTTGAATTGCTGGAACAACCTTGAAGAATAATTTAGTATTATTGTCTGCTTATGAAAATTGAAAGAACAAGGGGTAAGAGAGAGAGGCTACTTTAAGATCATAAATTCTCAGATTACATCCAGATATTTTATATACGTCAGGCATTTAGCCATTGACATAACTATATATTATTGATAATATATTACTGTAGTAGTTAACTATTATTACTATATATTGCTCATATATTGACACTGAATTAGGAGCAATGAAACTTACATGAATTGCCTACATTATTTGGAGTAGTAAAAACTTTGGAATGAAATAGGTAAAAAAAAAGAGCCATAAATAATACGTAGTTGCTAATCTGAATAATTTCTACAGGTCGCTGAATTCTGATGTATGTATAAACAGAATTTGGATTATTCTGGACATGGAACTTTGCTTTAAAAATACATGCTATTATGATTAATATTTGCTTACTTATTAGTTCTACCTTCTTTTAAAATTAGATTACTAATTAATCCTTGGAAATAGCAGCCACAGATTCTTCCTGGTTTAATAAGAATGACTATCCATGCTGAGAGAGAGCATTTTACATTCTGTCAGTTTCCCCTTAACTTTATTGTTCTTACTTTGGGTTTTGAATAGCGGGGTTTAAGTCTGGTTTAATTCCAAACTTATAACATCTTCAGTTCTAATAATTTTTTTTTTTTAACTTGCAATACCTGCTTGTAATGGAGAATGAAGTTGCAAGGCAAAGGGGGTGATTGATTGACTGTAATTTCTTTCTCTTTTTCTCCCCAGAAATCTCTCAGGTAACCGGCTGACCACTCTATCGTGGTTACTCTTCAAGACGCTGAGGCTTACGGAACTGTAAGTTTTCATTCAGGAGGAGCTACCTGCAAGTGAGAGAGGAGACTCAGAAGTAATGGCAGCCAAGAGGGTTGCATGTGACGATAAAAAAAAAGGGCTGCTATGAAATACGCTGGTGACATGTCACTGCCTTTTCTGGAATATATCTTAAAGTTTGCCCATTTGGAACAATAGCTACTCCTGCACCTGCAAACACATTGTAGAGCAATGTTTCCCAGCTTTGCAACTTCTAGCTGTGTAGACTACAACTCTTAGAATTCTTATCAATGGGCAGGCTGGCTTTGGATTTCTGGCCTTAGAAGTCCACCCACCTGGAAATTGCCAAGGTTGGGAAATTTCTGTAGAATAATATCAAGGTATTATGGGATATGGGATGAGCTGAGTTTGCAGAGCCACAGGCATACCCCTCTAAAGCTTTAAGCTGCCAAGAAACCCTCCCTGTTGAATTGTACTAATTTTCAAGATCACAAGAGAAGTGGATTATTCCATGTGAGGCCCATGGAATTATCTGACACTCATTTCAGAACAGCTCATCAGTCCGAACCATTTTGGAGCTCTTTAAGCACACATGCATTTTAGTAACCGAAAGCCGATCAAATTGGGTTTGCGTTGGAGACTTGGGTATCTGAATCAATTTAAGCATTCAAATCAGATGGATTCAAGTGGAGCATCTGCATTAAATCAAATCTGATTCAGACACCTCTATTAAGTACACAGGGAGTAATCATATTAACTATATGTAACAGAGAACCAGTACAGTATAGTCATTAAAATGCTGGCCTAGGACTGGGAAGACCTGGGTTCAAGGCCACCTTCAGTTATGGAAGCTGGCTAACTGACTTTAGGGCAATCCTTCTCGTAGCCCAATCTACTCTGCAGGATTGTTATATAGATATTCCTCAAGCACCTGCAAGAAAGATGGGATATCAATGTATTTAATTGCAACATTAAGTTAAGATGCAGAATTAAATTTTGTTTTGGTCCTGGCTATTTTCACATCTATGGCCACACCTTTGTCCTGGCCCCACTCATTTGTTGGAATATGGTTCCCAGCATGTTATATAGGAAACATAGCTTTGTTATTGGATGATCAAAAATAAATAAATAAATAGGCATCCTCTTGTGAACTTAATATGGGATTTTCATATTCAGCGGCATTCCCATGCTTAATATTCCATGTCATCCTATCCAGTGTTAGTCTTTAAAAGTGGATTTCTTAAAAAAAGAAAAAGAAAGAAATGCTATGTCACAGGAGACATTTGGGGCCAGTAGATGTGTTGGAATAGAACTGTAACTTACAAATTATGCAAATAAATATCCAATATAGACTAGGAAAACCTTGACAGGTGTTTTGAAAGTTACACAGCTAGTTCTTCAGATCCCAGGTGTAAATCTGTGAAGGATTTACAGGATATCACATGTTTCTGGCTGTCCCCTAGAGCAAAGAAGATTTTGCTCTTCTTTGTTGTCAAACAGCCAGAGTTGGATATTTAAGGTGTTTCAAACCATCATCTTTGCCTGGATTATATTTTCTTTCCTCTCTATAAATCTATTGCCTCCTCTACATATTTCTAGTCCTGGGTTAATATAGTTCAAGATAGCTTTAAGAATTTAATAATTCTTAAATTATGCAGTTGCTCGTGCAGTTCCCATTTTTTCTGAATGTAGACATGATCAAATGTCAAGTACAGGAGCTGAGAATCGGTTCTACATTGTGGTAGATTTTCTGTGTGTCTATAAGATAGGAAGGCTACCTTTTCTGGATTGATTCATCCTTCTTTGAAGAATGCTATTAAGAGTGCTTGTAAAACTATATTTCTCAATGAAGCTCCAAGGAACTACAGTTTCTATTCCAGTGACAACCATTCTTCAACAGTAGCAGTTTAATCAGTGATCATATATAAGAGATTATACATGGTATTCACAGTTGGGTTACTTGTAAAAGTAGTTTAGTGCTGAAGCTCGAAATGGCAAATCTCCTGTGCACTTAGTTTTGATTTTAAAAATGTATTGGCTACTGATCTATTACTGGTTCAAGTTATAATATTGAAATTAATCTATGAGACTGTAAATGGTGCACTGTTATTCATAGCTTTGTTCAGTCTTTGTGATGATTCTCAAAAACTTTCTTGGAGATTCTCAGACTTGGTTGGTTAAAATGTCTGTGCATCATGAAAATGAGTTAGAGGCTGGGCTCAGGCTTTGCAAGTCAGGGGTTGCTTAATATTGCTGAAGAAATCATAGTTGGTTGGATCTGCAGAACGCTATGGTTTAGAAAGCACTTGTTGTTCTAAGTGTACACAAATAAGTGAACCGCATGATAGCTTAGTGCAATATTTGAATCCAGTCTTGTTATCAACCAGGAAAAGGGCCTTTTCTGTTATGATGGTTTGATCTAGGTGAAAAATTGAATGCTTCAGAACATCCAATTCCTGAAACAGTAGGCTTGGCAGATATCATGACTGATTAAATGAATCCCTAGTATTTGTATATGTGATCTCTATGTGTTTTCAATAGATACTAAATTGGACAATCAAACTTTGTTGATTAATTGATGGTATTGTGATACCATACATAATATTATTGTGATACCATCCAATATCAACATTTACTGAAACAGTTACTGAAATCAGTTCAAAAGCAGATATCAACAGACCTGTTGTCTTTTAAAACAAAACCTCTTCTGTTGGAGTTCTACTAAATTACCACTTACAAAAATATATGTTGGCACATTTTGTTGTATTTATACAAAGCTAAATGTTTAGTTTGGTAGGATTGCAAAAATTGGGATGACTCACTAATCTATATTATATGGCCCACACAAAAGCTTGGGTCATGCATAAATCTCAGCCATAATGAGATTTCTTTTGTTTTAGTGATTTCATGTGATATGCAAATCCATCCATAATGTTTTGGTGTCATAGTCATACCTAATATTATGTTGCATTTGAGGGTTACAGTAGCTGGGGTGTAAACTGGAAGGAGGGAGGATTTAACAGATACTTTTCCCAAAGGGATATGGAGTATGTTTGGAGATTTTGAAAAAAAAAAAAGTGTCAAGTACAGTTTGGGGCTTACTCTACATGTATTTTTTTTTAAGAAAAGAAAACTCTTCCTTACCTCAGAATAACAGAAACCATGCTCCCAGGTTTTAGCACCTGTGGTCAAACATGGTCCAGACAGTACTGGTGCCTACTTCCATTTTAATTTTAATGTATGAACTAAGTCACTGCACTTTATTTACAAACTGTAGTCATACTAAACCCTGGTTTAACATACATACACACACACACACACACTTAGGTAATATATGACCCGGTCTCCCTCTTCACCAAGAAAGATTCAAATATTGCAATTTGGCACAACATAATAAATGCCTTTCATTACTCAGGTCACAGCAATATTGCTGTTAGTTTGCTAGAACCTTAGCCTCAGAGTATTGAATGTTGGGAAGGCATTGACTGGAATCTTTTGAGATACCAAAACCCTACATTTTGTGCCATATCCTTGGCTGTGTTTCTGACACAAACCAGATGAAACAGAGACTTTTTGGCCTTCTTTGTTACAACAACTGAAACAGTATTCCTACCACTGTAGAGTGATAGTTTAGCATCTCCTTTAGGACCTAGGAAGGCCTTCAGGGCCTGGCAAGTTTGTAGCCTTCTGAATTATAGATAAAGCATTCAGCCCTGCTCAAGAAGAACAAGTAGACATGAAATCAATGCAGTGCTGCCCTGGTAACCTGTTTTGTTGAGTTTTAGCAATAGTTGTGCATCAGAAATAAAAGCATGTATGTTATGTAGGATTCATCCCAGAAGATCATGGGAATATCCCATTCATCCTTACCTGAGATCAATAAAACTGTAAGTGAGAAGTGACTTATAGAGGAAAAAAGAGTAATCCCCAAGGAAAGTCAGCATGTAATCATCAATGTAACCTCAGCATATTTTATTAGTATTTTTCCCTGCTGTCAAGTTGTTAAATGAAGAAAAGAGTGATAGCCACATTGCACAGATAAAGCAACACCCATTCTCAGGGAAGGAATCTGGCTAAAATGCTGACTTTGGAATTGATCCTTTGTGCTAATGGTAGCATAAACATTTTCTTGTCCTATTTCAGTTAATAGTTTGAAGGAGACAATCGGTTTGTGGCATTGGACGTCTCTGCCATTTCAGATGGGATTTTAAGTGGATCCAGGGCTTACTGAACATAAATGCTAGGCCTATGTGAGGGGTGCCCTTTACTTTGCCAAAGGACAGCACATGCACAGAAGCTCTGTCCAGCTCCTGGAATTGTCAGAGGAGCTGATGGAAAATAAAATAATGTGTCGGCTTTGCTTTTTAGAATATAGCAAGGTCTGTATTAGTTTGTAAAGCAGCTTGGAGAGGATACTCTGGAGCTTTGACAGCCATACTATACCTCTTCCTGCCTATAGGTTCTCTCTAATCGACATCCAAAATGTCTAGCTTGCCAAGGCTTGGGTTAAATGTTCTTCCATTGCATAAAAAGGTTTATTTTTCTACGTTATTCTGAAGGTGCTTTAATTTTTTTTTTAGAAATTAGTGATTTCTGGCTTCCTGTAACTGTCTTGGCTTAGCCCCCATATGCCTAAGCAGTTTAGACTCTTCAAAGTACCATATAGAAAATATGTCTACCATTGGAAACATGACTTCTACATCCATCTTTTTCACTGTGCTATGCTTTTCATGATTCAAACTTGCAAGCGTTGGGGTAAAGCCAAGAAAAAGGCAAGATAGATATATCTTCCCCATTATACAACCTTATAAAGGTAGTCCACTTAATTGGAAGAGTGAAAATATATCTTCCATGGTGGGGTAATACTCGATGTTCTGCCAAAATCTGCTTTGTAATTTCTCATACATTTTATTCTTAAGATGCTCTACTTTATTGTCAAAGTGCCTTCTTGTTGGAGGTATTAATAATGAAACTACTGTTGTTGTTTTCTGTTGCACATCTTTCCATCACTCTGAAGCCTCCCTTTCCACTCACACTTCCCAATCTGAGAAAGCCCCATGAAAGGAGTTCCTTACTGTAGTCTTCCCCTTGGTATTTAATGGAAGCCAGGAATAATTGGAGTGAGGGTTCTACAATGAAAGTTAAGATACTCAGAGACAGCTTTTGGCCACCTCATCTTTAAATAAGTGAAGGAACAGCCTACTCCAGTCATGAGAAATATGGAACATATTATTTTTCTTTGAGACAAATCATAAAAGCAAATGTACTTTTAACAGATTGGAGACGTGGTAGAAAAAAATTCAGGAGTAATGACCTTTTAAATCTTTATTCAACAAATGCCTTGCTCAAGCAAAGTAAATACTCTGCCCATGTTCTGATAACAACCAAACCATAGCCCTGTGCTCCCTTGGAATTCTTTAGCCCATCTTAGAACCGCATTGTGAAGCAAGTCTCCCTCCAAGCTTGTCCCATTTCCATTCTTTTTCTTCACTACTCTCATTTTGTCCTTCTGTTTTCCCTCCATCCTGCCTACTTCTGAGGACTCTTGTAGGAATATCACATGACGCTGGCCAGGTTTTCAACCTGAATGTGCAAATTAAAATGCCATCTTAAACTTGCTTGCCCTTTCCAGGAATAAAGTGTACTGAATCACATCTCCCGAGGAGGAAATTTCCAGTCTGGGTCCAGCTCCAGCTTTCATGGCTCTTAAGCAGATGGCCGCAACCAAAGGAAATTAACTTTGAAAGAGTGCTAAAAATAGAACTAAATTATCTCCTCCTACATGGAAACTCTTTTCAAGATGTAGCCTTTGTAGTTTCTTCTTTATTACTTTAGTCAAACTAGTGCCAAGCAAAGAAATTCTGCTTCCTCCTCCTCACATATCAGGTCTCATTCAGTTTGATGAAGAAGAATTTGTTTTTGAACTTCCTTCTAATTTTTAGCAACTTTGGCAGAATTCTCATAGCTGAAGTGTGATGTTCTTGATCCCACTTACTGGGGGTGTGCAGAGCTTAAAAGTATGATAATGCAAGGAAAGAATCCACCCCTCAAAGTAAAATGACCCTAAACTATGGAATGGACTAGCCACCCTCCTTTGCTTCATTCATAGAAAGTAACTTCTGTGTATGTTGAACATTTGTCTTCTGAGAAGAGGCTGCCAACAGAGACGGTCAGCCTTTTCGCAATGCTTTGTGAAGTAGAGAATGTCACCTCTACAGCACAAGTGAAGTGCTGAGGTAAAGTAGATAATTCCTGCCACACCAACTGCAGTGTTAGGCCAAGCACATCTCCTTTTATTTACTTATGAGGTGGCCAAGGGATATGTGTTAAAACAGAAGAAACTCAACACTAGTTAAGTCCCAAAGGAGCAGAACACTAGTACACTATTAACATGTGATATGTCCAGTAAAATGCTGGGAGTTAATTTGCACAAAAGCCCCCTTAAGTATTGCCATTAGGCTGCATTATACTATCAATACTGCTAGGCCAAGCCGGTGGAAACGTCCCTCTTCTCCAGCACACGGCTTTTACATTATTCATAGGGGAGTCTCATGCATTAAGAATGATCTGGAAGGCTGTGTTTTATTACTTACAGTTCTGCTCCTGAAGGGCTGCAATAGTAGCTCTCACTAGCAGTCCAGTTTCAGGGAAAAGTATTTATAACAGCTTTATTTTTCACTTTGGAATTGTCTGTGGTGCTAAGCCAGTGCATAAATTCATGGAGGTAGGAAGAAGGGAAGTGAACTCTTACAAGGACAATCAGTCCAGGGCAGAACACATACTTTGCATGCAAAGAATCTAGGCTGCAAATCCAGGGATTCTTCCATTTAGACCAGTGTTTTTCAAACTTGGCAACTTTAAGATGTGTGGACTTCAACTCCCAGAATTCCCCAGCCAGCCATGTTGAGGTGAAGTCCACACATCTTAAAGTTGTCAAGTTTGAGAAATGCTGATTTAGACTAAGATATTTTCATGTCTTACTGCTACAGCTTCCTCCTTCTCCTTCACATTAAATTTAATTCCATCTTTCTTGAATTCAAAGTGGGTCTCCCACATTCTAATCCCATGACAATCCTTTAAGGTAGATTGGAGTAAGGAATAGTAGGTTGCCAAGTCAGCCAATGAGATCTGTGGAAAAATAGGGACTGAATCCTGGTCTCCCTAGTCCCAGTTCAATACCTTGACTACGACCCTGCCCTGCCTATAATAAATAACAGTCTTCTGGATTCAAGAGCTGAAAATACTGTGGCCTTGTTTCCTGCCACCTTAAGGTGGGAAACATACCAAAATGATAAGGTAAGGTCTAAAATAGTGTAATGCAATTAAATAGAAAAGGCCTTAATATACCCAACAAGCAGAAAAGTTAAGCCTCTTCCTGCCTCCACTATAAAGCTTAATACATGGTTCCCAATCACCAATAATGTACTTACCTTGTCTTTCATTTTGGCATTACAAACATCCATGGTCCAGTTGGTCCAGCTCTATTTCATAGCAAAGAAAGAGAAATGTGGAAGATGTTATAAAGCTGATTAAAAAAAAAAAAAAAAGAGCCACCACGGCCATTGTTTTTGCCTTACTGTTTTAATAGTTTTGTCAATATTTTTATTTTATTTATTTCTGCTTCGATTTCAAAATTTCACCAATATCCAAATACTTTGATTTGGCTTCAATATGTCCACATGGGATCTATCAGCTTTATCATTTTGGATGGAAACTTGAGGGATAGTAAACATACTTGCAGGCACAGAGCAATACTGCTAGTTGTTGAAGAAAATCAATAATAATAAAAATTATCAGTATATAAAATGTAAGTGTCTTTTAAATAGAGTACATTAAAAATCAGCATTCCCAGCTGGGTCAATGAGGTCGAACGGTATACAAAGCTAGCTGCTTCATTCAATTAAATTGCATGATGGGTTGTAAGCTCCCTCATCTCCCCAAGCAGCAGGAGCTCATAGTCAATGCATTAAGATAGGGGTATTATGGATAGAGCCTTGAATTTATTGAGCATGTCTGGGCAGGGAGAAGAGGAGACAAGCTAAATGAAAACTCATGATCCCTGCATGACCTTATGAATGTCAAGGTGTTCAGAACAAGAAATAGAAGATACATATTCAAAGATAAAAGCCGTTACTTAAATTTAGTATCAGTAGTTTAGTAAACTCTTTTTTTCCCCCTCTCCTTTCCAGTGCTGTGCTTTGTGATCTCCACACTAAGCTAGTAATGGCTGTGAGGTTTTCCACAGAATCCAATATATTAATCAACTGTAGTTTAGTTGATGAATCTATGGGGAGTTTTGGCACTGTCCTATCCGTCATACAGTGAGGTTTTCTCTCATGTAGGTTGGTGCTAAATGAATCAGAGTTTTATATTATCATTGCCATCATGATCATGTCTGGACTGGGGTACAGATCTGCTTTCTGCCTATCTCCCCTTTTGGATACTTTGCCTTCTTTTCGCTTCTCTTTCCTCATAATCTCCCATTCTCTTTCTATACAGGGAGTTGGAAAATAATATTTTTAACTGCAGCTGTGATATCCGTTGGATCCAGCTGTGGCAGGAGAAAGGGGAAGCCAATTTGCAGAACCAGGACTTGTACTGCATGAATATGGAGACCAGCCACATATCCATACAGGAGCTGAATATCAGCCAGTGTGGTAAGGAGGGGTATATAACTGGGCACCTGTTGATCATTGAACATTGTTATTCTTCCTTCAGCTCCTGATCTTCAGGCTTTGAGGCATTGCTCATGTAGACCAAATAGCACCATCACCAATGCAGGGAGGATCAGCAGGCTCAAAGGAACTCCACAATTGCAGGAATATCTCCTGTGTGTGTGTATACACAGTTGTAATTACAGTACTGTGGCTGGGAATCCAAAAATAATGTAATATATAATGTAATGTAAAATAATGAGTTTGCTGAGGCTCATGCAATACTGATTACGTCTGGCAAACTGGGGAGAATGGCAAAGAAGAGTGGGGTTCAGTGAATTGAACTCACTGCTGAACACAAGCCTGCCAAATGGCATTACTATTACTATTACTATGGTTGGTCGCACAGTCCGCCAGATGTTTAGACTGAATTTGGCATTTTTGTCCACCTATCGAGTCCTTCCCAAGGGCCTGGGATAGGTAGATATTGTTGTTTAATAATATTAAAGATATTGTTGTTATTATTATTTCTTGCTAATTACTATTGAGGTATATGCATCAGTGAACCAGAAAATCACAAAATTTGTGTGCATAGAGAATTATTAATTTTTCAAAAGACTGGGAAAAAAATCTGCCCTGGAATAGTTAGAGAAATCCTTTTCCCCACATATCTAATTGATTTATTGTAACATCACCAACTTCTGATCCATTTTTCATTTCATATACATTCACCCCTAATTGGGTCCTGGTCTATTTAATTTCTTATGTTCTTCTTATCTATTTATCTCACATAAATATGAATTTTTAAAATACGGATTTTAAAATATCTATTATTTTCGTTTTTGAGCTAAGAACTTCAGTGGGATATTTGGACAGTGTCAAAGCAGGTTAATAAGTGAATTTGAATCTGCACATTTCTCTAGGAAGTATGGGTCAGATCAATTTCTTCACAAAGATAAAATTTCTCACATAATTTTCTGTCTCACCTGCACATGTGTACACAGATGCACTCATACACATTGTTGCCACCTTTTATTTTTTACTAGCTGGGGCAGCTTTTCTCTGGACCTCTGATCAGTGTTTCTTCAGTTTTATCACCTTGTGTGTCAGCAAAACCTGTTTACTAGAAATCTCTTGAGATTTTGAACAGCTACATCTTTGTGGCTCTCTTCCATGCATTCCATAGTTGCACGTGGGTTTGTTTCTTAAAAAAAAAAGAGAACAGATGGAAAAGATAAGAGCCGGAGAATCAGTGAGATGCATGGCTACCAGTCTCATTTATGTGGCTCCAGGTAAAAGGCCTCAACCACATAGCACTTGAATAATAGATAAGGAAAAGTGCTCCTGAATTTATTCCCATCCAGATTTGTCCCCAGATCTTGGAATTCTAAATTGCCTGGTGGTACTTTCAAAGTGGAACTAATGCACCATGGATTCACCCATGTCCAGATGCTTTTCAAATATCCAAATACTCTGTGTTTGTGTGTGTGTGTGTGTGTGTGTGTGTATCTATCTATCTATCTATCTATCTATCTATCTATCTATCTATCTATCTATCTATCTATCTATCTATCTATCTATCTTGCCTCAGCTTATATACACTCATGCAATACATACATACATATATACCAGAACTGAGATACCCATAAAATTCTTGGTGCAAGAATCAAGATTCCTTCCTTCCTATAAAGGTTCAAATTATGCTTTGGTACTCATCTCTCTGTATGTTTAATTAATAATAATTCTGGGGAGATTCTTATCAGGACCTTACCACACCAAGGAAAGTTTTAGTTCTTCTGACTTCAAGCAGAATACTAATGAAATTATAACTGAATGATGTACTTTTGTGTTATAGATGAAAGGATATGCATATTAGATGCTTGAGAACATACACAAGTGTACATTTATATGACTGTGAAGGCTGGAGCTAGCAGGAAGGGAAACTAGGACCCTGGCATCCCACAGGATCATTATGTAAACCCAGGGCATGTGCCATCCACAGTCGAGCATGAAAAGCAGGTTACAAGGAGTCAATTACCATGAAAGGGCAAAGAAACTAGCAAGACAGCAATATTTTTATCAAAGGCCATTTCGAAGAGGATAGACTACCTAGAAGAAATTGGGGTTGACTGCAGGGCTGATGATATATTATGAATATGTCCTACTGTTTTCTCTGTATTGGTTTTATAGTTTTTGGATAGGGTCAGACTAATCAATAACATTTGTTGTTGTTAACTCAGTCTTTAAACTCTGGGACCCATACAAACGTACATGGCTACATTCTTAGACTCGATAGAAATGGATCTTTGTTACTAGGAGTGTTTAGTATCGGCAGTAAATCTTATCTACTCAAGCCAAGTCCTTGATTTCCCCATGAGAGCTGTTGAGTGCAGTTCGAGTTCCTAAAAAGAGAAAATGATTGCAGAAGCCTAGGTGTTACCCTTGAAAATGATGAAGTTCCAAGCAAATGTAGATTTGATAGGACCAGATTAATTCTCATTGTTGCACATGGAAAATAGAGAACAGCATACTGAAAGAATCTGCATAGGTTCAAGTCAAATGAAATGAGTTTTTATTGGTTTTATTTTGTTTTGCCTTGATTTGGTGGGGAGCAAAACAGTCCCACCTGAGAGGCATTGTTTGCAAGGATAGGCATTCTCAACACATGAAAATAGGTGATGATTGTAAGGAAGCCTCTGTTGCCAAGGAAACTGTTTCAATTCAAGCATCTTAATTCCAGGGATACCCCCTTTTCTTCTTCCATCAGTTTAAATTAAGAGAAAAACATATTTCCATGCTGTCATATACTCACATCTATTTGGCTATGTATTGCTGACCAGAATTCCAGTACAGTATCCCCACCAGAGGGCCATTTAATTTGATTTATAAGAATTTGTTTTCACACATTCTTTCAAAGAAGATAATTTTGGGAAAAAAATATCATAAAGCCTTAGAATTTAGGCCGCAGAGCCCAACTCTGTATCCAGTGTAGGAATCCAAATCAACATAATCTCAACAGATGGCTATCAAGTCTTTGAACACATCCAGTAAAAGGGCGTCACCACTTATCTGTGAGAAACAAGGGTGGTTGCAGACAGCTTGGAGAGGGGGTAGTGGATTGAAGGACAGAACACCTTAGGCTATTTAAGGTAAGTATAATAATCATGCAATCCATCATAACAATTTGACCAAAACTTTTTCCTTTGGAAAATAACCCACAAATCAAGTAATTTCTTTTGTATCAAACCAAAGGGAAATGGCTAAAAAATATGTAGAAGAATGTTTCTTCATAGGACTAATCATTTGATGTTGTAGTTATGGATTCTCCACATCCATTGTAAATTAAGAGAGCCCACTGATTTTCTTTTGACCACCCAAATCCTGAAGATGGAAGAATTCATATGCTACATAATTCATACAGCTGAGAAGGGCAGATCTAAGTCGGTAATAGGAATCAGTATATTTCTTAATCTTCTCCCTCCCCAAAATAAACGTCTAGGAATCATAGAGGTTTAAACGCCATCCCTCACTGTTATTAAACAGTCATGCAGCTCCCTGCTCACTGCCAACCACACAATGCCTTTTTATTGAATTTTGGAAGACAGCTGAAAAAGCTGTAAACTCCAGGGAATTGTGGGACAGCTAGAAATTCCTCAACACACTACAGGAATAATCTTCAAGGGATAGAACATTTTTAGAGAGCAAGACTGAGCTGGGAAAACATTATTTGCCATGACCTGGAATGGATTTATGAACATTGATTTCCTGAGCAAGGTAATAAATTTCCCTCCCTGCCTGCCTCTGCAATTCTCCCCAAGATAACTGGGAGGCAAGCTCTCCTTACCTAGATACTTCCACCCTAATTGGAGTTCTTCCTGCTTGTGTGAGTAATCCAGTGTGAAAGGGATTTCCAGCATTCTCCACCCAAGCTTGTGTCTTCATGATTGGGTGGAGGCTGGTTTACTAAACTATTCTCTCTTCTTCTCATAGCCAAGCTGTGATGGATGTTGTTTATGTAGTCAAAATGGCACCACCCACATGGAAGAGAGGATGCATCAGTTGATTTGGAGACTTCAAAGGTTTTTAGGGAAAAAAACCCCAGTTATTTAGGAAGGAAACATGTAAAAGGGGGATGGAGGTGATTGTAAAACAGTTTAATAGGAACTGACCATGTCAAGTTGCTATGGAAACTTGATTGATTTTGGGTGTGTGTGTGAAAACTGAAAGGGTATGCAGGAGAGAAAGTAGAATGGAGTGCGGAACTCCTGAATGAGTTGCACTCTTTCTAAAATATGTTGTTGACGTTTCTCCTGTGTGTGTGTCTGCCTGTCAATTAGGAATGTGGGGGGATTCAAAGGTAAGCTTCAGTTGGATGAAGACGGAAACAAAACATCTCCTCACAGCAAAATTGCATAGGGGAACAGCTCCCTGCTTCTAAGTGGTGGGGTGAAGAGGCTATGGTGCTTTGCTTTGGCCATGTAATGTGTGGGATCTATGCACCTTACAAAGAATGGAAACGGTGTCAACAGGTGGAATTTATATTTCCCCAGATGGAGAATTTACAGAAATCCATTTCTCTTTTCCAGAAAGCTTTAGGAAAGCCCTTAGTGCAACTCACCACCACACAGTCCCTGAGAAAACCCAATTTACATTCACTCTATCAAGAATTTAATCTAGTACAGATGTGACACTAAGATCAGGCACATGTTTTGCTGCTGCTTCTCCCTCTTTTTTTTTTTTTTTTCCAGGCCTCTAATCATTTTGTCTGATGAAGAATGATTGGTAATTCAAAAGCTTGCACATTTTGTAATGGTCCCCAGAAGACTAGCCTAGTTAGTTTGCTTTACTAAATATTGATTCATTCATTTATTCAAATTTATTATACAACAAAGCATCTTGTGTACCTTAAAGATGAATAAATAAGACTAGATAACATGTAAGTTTTGTATCTATGGATTTTAAAAAATATTTATCATGGCCAATGTGGCTAATATTGCTTTGTGTGGAAAATTCTGTATCATTCTAACTATGAGTTTCTTATTCTTATTAGTCCTTATATGCAAAATGTTTTTGTCTCAACTTTTGGACAAGATCTGTCCAGATGAAATCCAGCTGTGCATTTTTCTTTACAGGGAAATCTCGAAAAACACAGCCCAATAGCATCCATTCCCATTCATACATAATAGTTAAGAGGAAAGGCAATACTATTACAGTTAATTGTACATGTGAACAATATGTACAAATGCGCAATATGTCCAGCATTCCTTACATAAACAAGGATTTCCAGTACAAGGGCAGTACAAAAATAAATTTTCTCCCTGAGACAAACTGATGGTGTAGAAATACAGGAAGTACAGAATACTCTGTCTCTCCCCAGGCTCTCAATTTACAATGTTCTAAGTCAGATTTGGTTCAAACCAGTTTAGGAAAAAGAGGCATGTATTTTATGATGATCTGCTTTGGTTGAACATTCCTTGACATAACCATATTGATGTTGATTGGGTTTCTCCAGATTTGCCTGAAATCAGTGTCAGCCATGTGAATCTGACTGTCTGTGAAGGCGAAAATGCTGTTATCACATGCAATGGGTCCGGTTCTCCTTTGCCAGATGTTGACTGGATTGTAGTCAACCTGCGCTCTATCAACACTCATCAGGTAAGAAATTAAAGTTGAATGCGTCCCCTGCTTTTTTCCAAAAAGAGTTCAACACAATTATTCTGCATACCTGGAGGATCAGATAACAGATTTTTCTTTCACCATTTAATTTCAGTAAGCTTTTGGTATTTATAAAAAGTGTTATGTTGTGCTTTCCCCAGGCTGGGTGCTCTTCAGATATATGGATTTCAGCTCTCAAATTCCCTACCAGCATGGCCATGATTGAGAATTCGAGGAGTTGAATCCCATCTATCTGTGCAAGGCTATTCTGGGACATTAAGTTGATGTGGATCAGTTGTTTTTATTTTATGTTAATTATCTTTCTGGTGGTGATTTTCAGACGAATGCCAACTGGACCAATGTTCATTCAATCAATCTAACCCTGGTGAATGTAACCAGTGAAGACAATGGGTTCCTGCTCACATGCATAGCTGAGAATGTGGTAGGAATGTCTAATGCCAGCGTACTACTCACTGTATACTGTAAGTCAATGGGGAGAAGAAGAGAAGGGTTCAAGGGTGGGAAATCCAGTTTATGGGAGGCTGTTGTGCACTTTTCCGGAGCAAGAACTTATCAGGAGAAATCTTCCTTGAAAAAAATAAATTATGTGGACTTCTATAATGAGACCTGGGAGATTTCTCGCAAGTATGTTGAGATTTTTCCAGGTTTATTAGAATGAAAAATGGAAGAGTAATACAAGTGTTTACAATGACCACTGCTTCTTCCAGCATATAGCATAGACTATGGTGGACAGTCTGTGGTCCTTAGATGTTGTGGAGCTACAATTTCCAGCATCATCAATCAGCACCCATCATTATTGATTGTGCCAGTTGGGACTTCTGGGAGTTGTAGTTAAGTAACAGCTGGAGGACCTCAGATTCTTCACCTCAACTTAGACCCAATACAACTTCACTTGGTATATCAACCAAATTCCCAGTATTGCTGACAGCTGGAAAAAGAGTCGCTCGCTTCTAATAGTAATGTCCTGCTGATTTTTGGCAGCAAGTGAAAATTAAAAAGATGCATTAAGTTGCCAGTAGACTTCAAATGCACAAGCGGCTTCACTTTTCTTTCTTTAAGCTTCTCTTGTGGCATGCTAACTAGTCCACTGTGGCTCTCAGCCTGAGAATTTGACAGTCAAGAGACTTATGTTCTGGTGAATGCTCTGACATTTGAATGAGATGAGTCATATCCTTGGAAATCCTTGCTAATATGCATGTTCTTACTTGTCCTTCTGGATCACTTGAGTGGCAGAAAATGGCTTGCCTCTACAGACTGCCCATGGATTCATGTACAGTCTGTTTTTATAAACAGCAGTACATCCTACCCATGTGTAGAAAGATAGCAATAAATGAAATATTGAGAAGTGTCTGAATGATCCCACAGGATTGATAGTCCTATCAAATGACTTAAAGCTGCATCAGTATCCTCACTGGGCTGCATACACCAAGCTGTACTAGAATATTTTAAGGATGGGCATCCTCTTGTGAGTAGGCCACTGTTTGCATACATTTTTTAGGCTTCAAGAGCTGTTAGAAACAGGACAGTGTTGGCAATTTTTCCATGCTTTAAAATGCAGTACTTTCTCTACTTATTTCTGCAGAAATCCTGTAAAAAAGAGAGGAATCTCTGTGTTTTGCCACTTAATTTTGGTGACCCAATACTGAGATGGAGGAGAATATGTATCATATAGGCCATGGTTTCCCCACCCTTGGGGTATATTGGCATGTTTAGAGTTCGGAGCCTTGAGTCCACATTTATTTTCTTCATTTCCTGTTACTTTGCTCATGAGAAATGGAAGGGACAATGCATAGACAATATATGACTATACACTTTAAACATGTTAACTTCATGAGTCACCCAAAATGGGAAAAGCTCTCCAATGACGCTCATGTAAAGGTTATATTCGTAGGAATCCCAGATCAGCAGGTACTAGGGCATTTTATAGGACCTTGAATCCATTTAATCCAAAAGAACATGTATTTGTATTCATGAATATTTTTGTATCCACTATAGTTCATTTTTCACAATTGGCACACTCTTCTGCTAACGCATTGCAATGGTACACCATGAAGGATTAAATAAAGTAGCTTTTCATTTTTTTACAAGATGAAGTCTGTTTAATATATTTTGCAAATTTCTTCTAATTTTAGCCCACTGAGAAGTAATATACTCCACAGGGCACTGACTTTTCAGCCTTTACCTCTGAGCATTGGAAATATTACTCAGGTTCCTCAGAAGACTTCTTCATAACTCAGAGAAGACTATCTTCATAACTCAGAGAAGAAGGCTGAAAAGTGCATGTAGTAATACCTTCAAGGACATTCAAGGACAAGCAAGGACTAGAAGCTTGCTTTCAGCAAAATAACTTGTCGTGGTTATTTCTTTCCCAGTACTTCTCTGAATCTATACAATAGATTGTACTAAATATTATTCTTCAATCAGCAAGAATATGTGGAAAGCTGTACAAGGATGGGGAATATCCCTTATCATTTTGCTTCTTAGGTTATGAATACTGAAGCATAGTTTGAAGCTAGCTTTGTTCATCCTTGGTTCCTGTGGAGAGTTTGGGCAACAGCTCTCATCAGCTATAATGCTCAGAGGCCAATGATCATAGTTGATATGAGTTGAGATCCATGACATTATGTTGGGGAAAACTAGTCCTAGAGGACCTTAGGTAGTGTTGTCCCAATTTCTTGTGTCATCAAATATTGCAGGAGAGGGAACAATGGCATGCAGCCAGAAAGATATGGAGACTGCAGGTTTCCCAGTCTTATAATATAGGAAGCCAAACTGTTTGCCAGTCCGGGAAGTTTAGACTCAAAGCACCCCTAACTTTGTGTACAAAATGCTCTTCCTTTCTTCTTGCCTTCATTTCTGTATTGAAAAAGTAATGAAAATGCATATTTTAATATTCGGGGGGATGAGACTTTACATGATCTTAAAATGCAGACTGAATGTTTGAGTCTTTGAAAGTTGAACCCAGTTCTGCTTCCATCAGAGTTTAGAGAAAGCTTGGTCCATCTGTGTTTTTTCTCCCCCTAAAGACTGTGGATGATCATTAATGTTTGTTTGCATATCTCTTCCGCTGTTTAGCTCCTCCCCGTATCCTCAGCCTACTGGAACCTATCCGGCATATAGAACACTGCATCGAGTTTTCAGTGCACGGGAACCCTCCACCCCAAATTCATTGGCTGTACAATGGCCAGTTTCTTAGGCAGACTGCCTTCATCCACATGGAAGTCTACCAGGGTGGGGATGTCACGGATGGCTGTTTGCTGTTCAACCATCCAACTCATTACAATAATGGCAACTACACCATCGTGGCTACCAACTACCTGGGAACAGCCAACCAGACTGTCAGAGGACATTTTCTGGAGAAACCATTTCCAAGTGAGAGATTGACAGTTTATAGCAGGGGCGGGCAAGTTTTTCGTAGCTTTTTTTTTTTTTTTT